ATCGACATTCCAGAAAGAAAAACAATCAGAACAATTAAATAAATGGCAATAATTACATACCAATCAATAATTAGTTTAAGCCGAAACCGGTTTGGCTCAATGGATAAAATGTCGGCTTGGGGACTGAAGGGTCCCGGGTTCGATTCTGGTCAAGGGCATGTACCTTGGTTGCGGGCATATCCCCAGTAGGGGGTGTGCAAGAGGCAGCTGATCGATGACTCTCTCTCATCGATGACTCTCTCTCAACGATGAGAGAGAGTCATCGATCAGCTGCCTCTCATCTCTCCCTTCTTCTCTGTACAAAATCAATAAAATATATTTTTTTTAAACTTAGTTTAAGTGTAGATAGATTGAATGCTCCAATCAAAAGAAAAGATGAATAGATAAAGAAAAAGTGGAATATATATATATATATTTTTTTTCTTTTCTTTTTCTCACCTTTTCTTTACACACACACACACACAAAAGAATATTATTTGGTCATAAAAAATAGTGAAATCTTACCACTTGTGACAACGTGGATGAATGTAGAGGGTATTATACTAAGTGGAATGAGTCAGACAGAGAAAGTAATCAGTATCTTTTAAAATGTCGCAGGCGAATATGGTTTTCACTCACAGTGGAGATTTTCTGTGACAGCAGTGGCAGTTATTGCTTGCATGTGAAAGAGATAGTTAGGTTAACAAGTGGCCTTACCATAGGCATACACCAAAAATGATGCAGACTATTAAAAAACATAGATGAATCTACCGAAAGTTATTCCCCTCACATTCTGCCTTCAGCAACCATCCTTAGTAATCAAAACTTTTAAGTTAGGCTTTTGTTTTATTCAAGAGAAATTTCTGCCACATATGGAATGAAGGCCTATGTAGGTTGTACAATTATTATTTCCAATTTATGTACAATATGAGTTCTAAAAGAGGTCACAGATATCATCCAGTCAATATATTTTTTCCTTTACAGGTAAAAATCCAGAAATTAAAAAAGAATTTGTTATAGACAAAGTTGGAAAAACAAAAAACAAAAAACAAACAAACACAACTTCAAACTTAGTCTGATGGTATTTGCTTAAAAGAATGTGCCGTCTACAGATGGGGAAACAAAGACTTAGGAAAGTAAACTACTGTGCTCTTTGAAGGAATGTAAATTGTGTGTGTGTGTGTGTGTATGTGTGTGTGTTGTGTGTGTGTGTGTTATATTCATTTTAAATTAGTTGTGTTTCTTTTTTTTTTTTTTACACTTCTGAGAAGAAGAATAGAGATCCATTCTAACCACAGTGGCCCACAGTTAAGAGTGTTGACTATATTTTGATTGTGTGAATGGATAAGGTACAAGTCCTGAGTCCATTAACCCGTGTGTGAGAAATGGAGTTAATTAACTGTATGCTCTTCTGGGAAATCCTATGTGAAGTTTAGAAAGATAGTTGGGGAACCTTGGAAGACCACACAATTCCTAAACCATGTCCTGATCATGTGTTATTAGTAAGGCTAGCCAAGGGCAGATCAATTGCATCGTCTGATTGCCCTCTGAAAGTGGGGGAAATAGTGGGCAGGCATTCTCCTCGGCCCCTTTCCCAGTACTTTCCATCTACTGGAGACTCCTACAGATGCAAACCCTCCTTTGCTGTGGACCAGGGAGGTAAACTGAGGGGCCAAATATTGAGTGAAATAAAATAATGAATCTATAGTTTCTGATTTCTCCCAATGAGCAAATGGAGACCCACAGCATTTGACTGACTACTGCAAGAGAACTTAGGTGGGTCAAGGTATTAACCCAGGTATTATTTTAACTGCAGACTTGAAAGGGTTACAAGGTTTTACATAGAAGAAACCCTTAATACAATTGAAGTGACTAAACTCAGAAACTTTCCCCCCTGTAACACAAGTGACAAAAAAACAAACAGATACATATCAGATGAAAGTGATTTTCTCAGAGGACATGCCTTCCTGTCTTTCTGTCTTACTTGCATGTAAGTAAGTGTCATTTTCAAAGGAAAAAGAGAAGCTCGGTTTCTCCTAGAGAAGCAGTCTAAACTAGTGGCTAGAAGTCAAGGCTTTGGAGCAAGCCTTCCTGGATTTGAGTCCCGGCCTCATTAGCTGTGTGTTATTCAACATGTGCTATTCAGCTCTGTGCTTCAGTTTTATTACACTGTATACATTTGCACATGCATGCACACACTTGCCCTTAAGGCATGACAATAATCAATGATTTAATGCATGAAAACAACTTGGGAAATTGTCTGGTAAATTATAAGCACTCAATAAAAGTTGTTATTATGATCCTAATGATGCAAATGTTATTAAAGAGCCATGCCATCTTTGCTGCTTATATTTCTTCTATTACAGTGAGATACCTTGAGATATATTTGACCATCCCTGTGCCATAGAAGGGTTTCTAAACTGAATTAATTCTACCTGTTCTAGTGGTGTTTACTTTGACCTCCAGTTAAATAATAAAAGTATTATGCAGTTAAAAACCATCCTCGTGCAATCACATTGCTTCCAACTTATGTTCAGGATATAGGGACAAACAGCGTGTTTGTGTAATAACTCCCTGGAACAGTTATTATTTTCTACACTGTTGTGGATCATTCCCCAGTTGCTATTTAATTCATTTCCTATGTGATGTCTTTGCAATCAGAAAATAACGATGGTTTAAAGCAAGAAAACTAAGTTAGTACATGCTAATGTGAAAAGTGGATAAGATTTATATTGCATTCTATTGAAAATAGGCAGAATACATAGTTAAGAGTATGTAAAATAAATTGAAACTTTGAACTATGTGCAGCATCTAAGATGCATTTAAAGTCTTTGAAAAAAATAGGTTAAACACTTTCATTGGAAGTGTGGAGTATAATAGGTATTCTGGAGGGGAAAGTTGCTAAGATTTTTTCCCTGGTGATTTATCAGTGTCTTTGGGGACCCCCCAGGGATAGAGAAAATATGGAGAGGCCCTAATCAGAAGTGGGAAGTTTGGCACCTGAGAAGAAGACTTTGGGTGAGATCATTAAATAAGCTCTGTTGGCAAAAATGGGGACAGAGGGTCATAGAGCAGCCTTCATTTTGATAATCCCAAAATACCATCACCTTTTGAGATTCCCATCTGTAAAAGCTTTTTTTTTTCTTTTCTTAATTTATTTTGATACCATGGAGTCTTTGAAAATGTGATAGAAATTAGAAATATTCCTCCCAGAAAATGTGTGCATCACACACTTCTGTATATGAATTTGTGCTTCTCATAGATGTTCTCATGTAAAACATTTCCTTTTTAATTGAGAGATTTTATATTCTCTTCAGTGAACAAATCAATTAACTTTTGGAAATAGATTTGACCACTTAGTCTCCTTCTTAAAAAATGTATTGTTTAAAATCCTGACTTATAACTCTCCCAAAAGATTTTAGAGCATTAAGTTGTTTTGTTTTACTGTGATCAGCAGTTTCAAACATCTTTATAGATGTTCCTGAGACACTTAATTTCTGAGAAACTTTTATTTCTGTCTGATAGAAAAGTGCAGTAGGCTTTGGGTGTCTTCTTAGAAGTATTTTATTATAATTTTATGAGGAAATAAACAAAGACTGCAATATTATTCCCATATTGGTTTATATTAAATAAACACTGATATCCCACAGAGTCTTGATCATAATTCAGACTCTAACCTCAAAATATACTGTTTTGCGAGAAATAAATGTACAAAAGTACTGATTTACTGAAGCCACAGAGGAGAAATTTTTTAAAATATGGGAGAGAAAAGCCTTTTAAAACTCACCCTCAATGGAGACATAAACAACAATATTAATAAGGCAATCAATACGTTTTTATGTCTGTACCTTATATTTTAAAGAGGACAAGAAACTCTCTGAATATTTGATGTAAGAATTTGGTTTGAAAAAGTTTGGCAATTAATGTAAAGCTAGCTAAAAGCACCTTTTCATTCTTAGATTAAAACCCTTAGAAAAGTTGATAATAGTTTCTATAAGATTGTAGTAGCAATTTATCATCCTATTTTGTATTTTGATTCCAATCAACACAGACCAAGGGCAGTCAAGTTTATAATAATTTATTATGGTTGCATATCATTTGTCTTATATAATAAATTATAGAAACTATAGCATCTTTATAAACTATTTAGTATACCGTGTTCACTTCCTAACGCTCACTGCAGTAACTGTAAGACATTTAATTAGATTATACTTTAGCATTAGTTAGAAGATAAAAAAATATATACATTTTTTCACAGTACTTTGCATTTCTAAAGGGCCCATTATTGCAACTTTTGCACAGTTATTCTGAAATGCATAAAAAACCTTTATAAACCAGAAGGTGGCATATGGTTTTTCTAAGCTGCTGAAGTTACTGCAGCTCCTTGACTTTGCACTTACACCCGTTTGGTGTACTTTTCAGGCACTGTAATAAATGCAAATAAATAATCACTTACTGATCTCTAAAAAAAAAAAATCTATACCAATAGATAGCATTGGAGCTTGGAAACATCTTGAGAATTCAAATAAAAAACTCAGTAAACAATTTTAGCATGAAATTCTCTCTCCCTCTTCTCTCTTCCCTCCCGCCTCCCTCCTCTTTCCCCTTGCCCGGTTTGCTTAAGGAAACAAACAAAAAGTTCAGGTTGAATTTAAGTCCGAGGGCCTGACCAAGAGACCCTGGCTGCAGTTCTCCCTCAGCCATCTGTTTTCCTTCAGCTTCATCTCTCATCACATCTGTCCAGACCTCTCCTGACACCGGCATCAGTCCTTTCTGGCCGGGAGAGTTTTCAAATCCTTGCTGAAAGCATCTTGTTCTCCACTGTCACAGCCAGGCGTGAACTTGGATGGAGTCCTTGTAACCGGTTTGCTCTGCTCCTTTCCAGCCTCCGGAGTCCTGACGGAGGAGGAGGAGAAGCTTGCAAGGAGCCACACAGCGCTGTTGCGTGTTAGCGTCTCCCAAACTCGCTTGGTCTTTACATGTCCATTCTTGGATAACGTCCTTATCCATTCTCTGGCACCTCAGTGCACTTTGATGGTGTATTTCCGCAGTTTCAGAAACTGGAAAAGCTTGTCTTTCGTCCTCTTCTTCAGGGCCATCAGGGCCCGTGTTTTCTCCTCCAGGTCTTGGTCTATGGCCAGAATGATCTTGGCTCTCTCCTCCGCTTTCTTGTCCCCAGAGTTTTTGAAGAGCCTCTGCAGTGATTCTTGGTCAATGTTTTCAAAGATGTTGCCCACGGCTTTCTTGCGTGAGGCTGTGTCGAAGTGGTAGCCGTGGATGGACGGGCTGACTCGCAGCGAGGAGGACATGGTGCAGGCTGGCTGGCTCGGCTCGCTCTCATAGGTGGGAGGATCTTGGGGAAGTCGAAGCCCAGGCTCTCCAGAGAGTCTGTGGCAAACTCATTCCAGCGCTGCTATTTAAGGCCTGAGCAAAAGCTCCAGGCTCAGATTACACTGGTGACATCAGAGTGATCTCAAGGAAGAATAATCAGAGGCAGGTTTAACAGTTGAGTTGCCAATGTCCCGTTGTTCTTGTTTGTGCAAAATGTTCCCAAAGCTGTGTTCCGTAATGGGGCGTGGAAGCGGGGGTTTCTTTTTGCCTCATCTTTGTCCGTAGAATTATGGAGAGGTGGGCTCTTCTTTATAAAAAAAAGAAAAAGTGCAAAGATAAGATGCAAGCTGGGTGCCTTAAGCTCTCAAAATCTTTCTAAACAAAAGTTCTGCTAACACTGGAAAGTGCGAGCAGAAGAATTCCCAGAGAATTTTTTAAAGTGTTCTCCAAACATCTGCGCCCTTTGGACACTTCTATCCAGGGCCACTCCCAAGCTGCTCAAAGATAGCTTAACAATTAAGGACAACCGTTTGGAATAAATAGGTCCAATTGAAGAAATGGGAGTTTACCTACAAAGTGCTGACAGGACACTGCCTGGAACGGTGACCTTTCAGAGGCTGTATACAAGTGCTAATGTGTATTCACTGAATAAGAGTGTAAGATAATAATAATAATAGACAATATCCCTTAGGTTTGTGAATACATCAACAATATGTCTACTTTAAACAAGTAGGAAAAGTAATCAGGTGTTTTACCTATACAGTACTCAAAAGGAATGATTTGACTTTTTTTTTTTTTTTTTTTTTTTGTGTGTGTGTGTGTGTGTGTGTGTGTGTGTGTGTGTGTGTGTATTTTGGCATTCCCCAGACATAAAACGACTCCTTCTTTGGGAGAATTTGAATTTGTTCTTTTCACCTTCCACAATATTCAGCCAGCCACTGTCCCCACAGATGTATGGGGCACTTATATTCAGCCAACTGCTTTCTTCAACTTCAAAGGGCCCCAGAAACTTCTTTTTATGGACCTTCTGCCTGGTCCATGTTCTAATCCTCCAAGAAGCTGGGCTGGTTTTCATTTCCAGTCAGATCTAGTGCAGGGAAGGTGCCACACTAGAAAACTGAGTTAGCTACCCTTCATATATATTCATCCAATCATTTATTCATATACTCACTCATTTTTTCAATCAATATCTATTAAAGGTCTACCTTTACAACTTTCTAAGCATTGGGAATATAATAGTAAACCTAACTAAACCAAATAAATAAAAGGAAACAATAAAAAAATCTCTACCTTACCTTAAGGAAGTTTAAAATCTACCTAAATAGACAATAAAAAGCTGTACATTTATCTATACTAATAAAAGGGTAATATGCTAATTAGACTGGGAGGCCTTCCAGTCGTCCTCCCAGACAAAGCCATGGTAGCAGGCTGACACAGAGACAGTTAGGGGCAATCAGGCCAGGAGGGGAGAGCAGTTGGGGTAATCAGGCTGGTGGGGGGGAGCAGTTGGGGATGAGCAGGCTGGCAGGCAGAGTGGTTAGGGGCAATCAGCCAGGCAGGTAGGTAAGCAGTTAGGAGCCAGTGATCCAGTATTACAAGAGGGATGTCTGACTGCACAGGGATCGGGCCTAAACCAGCAGTTAGACATCCCTCAAGGGGGTCCCAGATTGGAGAGGGTACAGGCAGGGCTGAAGGACAACCTTCCTCCCCCCTTCCCCTTCCCCTACAAATTTCATGCATCGGGCCACTATTAATATAGATGATGTCAGGAAGTAACAAATGAGTAGATTTGTATAGGAGAGGAAGGGAGAGGTTGAGGTTTGCATAGGGTATTTAGAGCCAACTTTTCAATGGGATATTGTGCAAGAATTCAAAAGAGGTGAGGGAGTGAGCTGTGTAGGCATCTGGAGGAAGGGTGTTATAGGTAGAGGAAATAGCAAGTGCAGAGGTCTGAAGATAAGAGTATCCTGGAATATATACGAACACCCAGGAGACCACACTAGTGTGGTTGGGGCAGAATGGCCAAAGAAGAGTAGATGGAGGGGAGAAGGAGGTAAGAAGGCAGAGGCAAGAGTACAAGCTCCTAGGCTTTTTCATGGATTTAGCACTTATTTACTCTATAAGAGATAGGCAGCCTTTGGAGAACTTGGAGCAGAGAAATTACAGGGTTTTAATTATAATTTTAAAAAACACACTGACTTTTCTTTGTAGAGAGTAGATATGTAGGAAGACAACAAGGACACGGGGAGCAAAAGGACTAGTTGCACTCTCCAAAATGAGCCAGGCAAGGGACGATGAAGTCCTCCACTGGAGAAGTCCTTGTACAGGTGGTGATAACTGATGAAGGTTAGGTCAGAAGGGTTGCTGAAAACTCCAATGTGAAGGATGAAACACAGACAGGAGCCTAGGACGACCTCCTTCCTGAAGGATGCTTCCCTGAAAGACTATTGCAGGTGGGCTTATGTTCATCTCACCAACCGTGGCAGCTGATGCTTGTTCCAGGGTTTCCATGGGCCAACCCTATGTTTGCTGCCTCTGACGGGTTTATTGGCATATAAACCACACCTCTCCCTCACTAAATACAAAAAGTACTTTTATGGTAATAAGGATTTTTACTGTTTTAATTAAGTGCCAAGAAGTTTACATAACCCATCTGAATTGTTGCCATATTCAAGATTTTAAATCCAAGCCTAGTCCTTTTCTCTGTGGTATAGACTCACTTATTTAACTAATTTATATATATATATATATATATATATATATATATATATATATAGTTATAAACAGGTATATAAACTAATATCTATTAGTTATAAAAGGCAGAAGTGCAGTAATAATTTTTGATATCTTCTTTTCTTTCTTCCATTATCTAGATTTATCCCCCATCTATATTTGTCACTAAGGGCTGTCAATTCTATCCACAAAATATTTCTTAAATCTATTTACTTACAACTTGCTCTGTCACTATTTAGGCAAGTCTCCATATGGTGGATGCTGAAATGCACAACCAAAACTCCCTGTAAGATTTCCCCGGGTGTTTAGCTGTCAGCCCCCATCATGGGTTGCCACCAATAAACAAGGTCAAATCCCCCACCCCTTCTTGGTGCAGCTGTATCTAGTGGCTGATGGATAAAAGGACACAAAAGCCTGTACCCCTTCTCCCACTCGGAGGGATCATCTACACTTCAGAGCATTCTTTCGAATCATCTGAGACTTCCCTATTCCCAAATCCATATCTTTCCCTTCTGCACGCATCAATCTTAAGAACACTCATAATAAATGACCTTCCTGGTGATCTCCATTTTGAAGTTTGCATCCTGGGATCCGAGTCTATAACACCCCAACTTCTCTCACCTGGACTAAGGCCATGCTGTACACAGCATCCAGAGCAATGGTTTTAATAAGCAATCTGATCAGACCAATCTTGCTATTACATTTAGGATAAGCTCCAAAATCTTAACATAACCTTTTTTTAAAATCCTTACCTGAGGATATTTTCCCTTTGATTTTTAGAGAGAGTGGAATAGAGAGAGAAAGATAGAAATACCAATGTGAGAGAAACATCAATTGGTTGCCTCCTGCATGTGCCCCAGCCCAGACTATGGCCCAGGCTAAGGAGGAGCCTGCAGTGAAGATACATACCCTTGATCGGAATTGAACCCAGGACCATCTAGGGCGTAACATAATCTTTTTGAGCATGACATTTCTCTGGCCACTGACTACTGTAGCATCCTAATTTGCCACACTTTCTCCATACCTATATGTTTTCCAATTCCTTGAATGTACTATGTTCATTCCTGTCCTGGGTCTTTGCATATATTTTTCTTTTTTCTGGAAAGTTCTCTACGTCTTATCTCAGCTAGGTAACTTTTATTTACTCATAAAATGTCAACTAAAAGCTACTTGCTCAGAGGACTTTCCTGATTTTTCTAGACTAGATCGGGTTTGCTTGCAAACATACCATTTACTAGGCCGTAGTAGCACTTATTACAGATTTCAAACATACATTTATATTTATGATTACTCAAAATCTACCTCTACCAAGAGCAGGTATCAGATCTACTTGTCTCACAAATGTGTATAAAGCTCCGAATCACTTAAACGTTTCATAATAGTGTCAAGTAGCAATGTATATGATTCTATTTAATTCTCATAACAACCTATAAGGTTGGAACTCTTGTAATCCTCATATTACAGGTAAGAAATTTCAAACAATGACAGTTTACTCCCTAAAATGTCCATTTTCTAATACCTGGAATGAACCCGTAAATATAAACAAAAAGGAACCTTAAACTGCAAAAGGAACTTATGGGGCAAAGGAATTTTACAGTTGTAAATAAGTTAAAAATATGAGATATAAAGATTATCTTGTATATGAGATATAAAGATTATCTTGTATTATCTGGTTTGGCCCATGTAACATTAAGAGTCCTTATAAGAGGGTGGCAGAAAGTCAGAGGGGAGAGAAGATGCTCAACTGTTGGATTTAAAAATGAAGGAAGAAGCAAGAGCCAAGGAATGTAGGCAACCTCTAGAGGCTAGAAAAGGCAAAGAAACAAATTCTCCCATTGAGCCTTCAGAAGAAACATAGCACTGCAGACCCTTTTTTTTATATCTGGCTTCCTGAACTGTAAGATAATGAATTGTGTGTGGCCATTTGTACCCCAGCAATAAGAACCTAAAGTGTTCTGCAAATCCTTCAGCTACAATAAGATAACTTGAACCAAGGACTATATGATTCCAAAGTCCATGATTTTAAACTCTATGCTGTATTGCTCTCAAATCAACTGAAAGCTCTATTTTCAAAAAGTCTGAAAAATCCTTCCACATGTCATTGAGCAGCTCTCCCTGAGTACTGCCTAAATGCCTTCAGATGAATTAGAGAGATTAAGGAACTTCAAAATTATTTAGAGGGCAAGACCACCCACAGGGAAACAATGCTGGTTTCTGTTTCCCAGAAATGTGACATAAACCCCAA